AGAAATGATCATATCATTTATTTTCTTATACTGTTTTGTAAAAAAAACCTTATATTAAATGATTATTTTACAAAATGATATCACATCTTACATATAAAGACAGAAATGTTATTATTAATGCACGGAAAGAAATTTTTACATGCTTCAAAGTAGAAAGTATGCTAAAAAAGTAATAACTGTCTTTAGTTAAACATACAGCGTAAACTTATGGCTGCCATTTGTTTACAACGAAAAAAAAGTAGCGCGAAAAAAGTAAGTGAAAATCTAAACAGCGTTTCGTCATAGCGAATAAATTCGTTTCGCGCGAATATTTTAAATATTTAAAAAGGCTTTAAGAAAATATAGAAAACTTTTGAACTTTTAAAATGGCTATGGTTCTTAACTACAGAGAATATTCTATATGGCAACAGTTTATTTGTTAATTAATTTCTGAAAAGCCAATGATGTAGCCTTATTTTTAACGTAAATTAATATAATAATACAAAAATTTTTTCAAAAATATAAATACAAAGAGGTAATAAAAATCTTAGCGCGCTTAAATTTTATTTTTATTTAATACCTTTTTAGTGTAAATCATAGATTTGTTTATTTATTTTAATTCAATTTTCTAAAAATCTGACTGTAGGATTTCAAAAATTATTTTTTTTAAACTTCAGATAAATATGTTCTATATGTATGATATTTTTCTGGTCATTGCTTCAACTTTTTTTGCATACAAAAATTAGTTAGTAAAAATTAGTACGTTTTGCAATCCCGACTTAAGGTGGTAGTACACCAATAAAAGTGAATTTTTTTTTTTTTTTATTTTCATTATTTAACCAATATAATCATCACAGATTTCGAATTTTTAGTTGATTTAACTAAATAAAAAAAGCTTCACATGTTAAAACCTGTTTATAATGTATCGGTATAAAATAATTTTTATTTTCCCCCTAGCAACGCTTTGTTTATTCCGTTGTTATGCGCTTCAGAAACAAGTTAAAACCATAAAAAAGCCATAAAATACTTACCTAGCCAACTATTTTAAGTGCAAAGTTGTAGACTGCAACGACTTCTTGTTAATTAGTTCAGCATGATGGCTTTATTGACGTAGTTCGCTTCTGCATTCAAACATTGTTATTTATGCTGTAGTATATCTTTTATCTTTTTATAATAAAAATTATATGGGTGGATCAAAGAGAAAACAATTATCAAGCAGAATATACAATAATAAAAAAGCAAAATTTCGTGGAAACAGATATACAAAGATTCCTTCTTCAGAAACGAAAACTTTATCTTTTGTTGAATCTGCTACACATTCTGCTTCTTCAAAAAAAATTAAATATTGCTGATAGAGATTTTCAAGATTTTCAAAGTACAGATTTTAACTTTGTTATGAACTTTAGTCTGTTGGAAAACGTTATATCGTTACTTAAATGCCCAAATTTGTGTGAAGATAATGTTTTTTTATTGTTTGATTCGTCAAAAAAGTATGGTTTGAGTATTGGTTTAAAAATATGTTGTAACAGTTGCAATTGGAAAATTGAGTTTTTTTCATCTGCTACATTTTGTAAAAAAAATTTTCTTGAACAACAAGAGCCTAGTAAAAGCAAATGTAGTGGGCAAAAAACCATTTGATATTAACACACGTGTCATTGTGGCTTTTCGTGAAATGGGTAAAGGGTTAGCGTCATTAGAAAAATTTTGTGGAATAATGAATATGAAGCCACTTATGAACAAAAAAAGCTACAATAAAACTTTACATAACTTGTTAGATGTTTATCAAAATTTAGTTGACCAGAACATGAAAAATGCTGCTGATGAATTAATCCCTGCAGGTGAAACATCAAGAGACATTATGTGTAGCTTTGATGGTTCATGGCAAAAGCGTGGTTTTACTTCAAATAATGGAGTTGTTTCTGCAATTTCAGTTGAAAGTGGTAAATGTATTGACTTTCAAATAGAAACAAAAACATGTAAATTATGTTCAATATGGAAATTAAAAAAATACACACATCCAGTTGAATATGAAAAGTTCCAGTCATCACATTTCCAAAAGTGTAAAATTAGTCATACTGGATCATCATCGGCTATGGAATCAAGTGGTGTTTTAAAACTTTTTCATCGTTCTGAAAAAAAAAACAATTTAAGGTATACCACATATCTTGGTGACAGAGATAGTAGTTCTTATACCAGTGTTGTTGCTGCTAAACCTTATGGACATAATGTAGAAATTAAAAAAGCAGAGTGCATTGGTCATATTCAAAAAAAAAGTTGGCACGCGTTTAAGAAACTTAAAAAAAAGCAGCAAAGAAATTTTAAGTGATGGTAAAAAACTAGGAGGAGCAGGTCGTTTGACAGAAAATGTTATTAACACATTGCAAAATTACTATGGCAAAGCAATCAGACAAAATATTGGTAGTTTATATGCAATGAAAAAAAGTCTAGCTGTTCTTTTTCACTGTTCTGAAAGTTACGACAATGAAACACGCCATCAATTTTGTTTGCGCACTAAGGATTCTTGGTGCAAATTCCAGGCTGATAAAATAACTGGAAAAAAAACGTACAAAGAAAATATTTGTATTCCTGCTGCTGTGAGGGATTTTATAAAACCAATATTTATAGATCTTGGTAGTGATGTTCTTTTAGAAAAGTGTTTGTACGGCAAAACACAGAATCCTAATGAGGCGCTGAATCAATTGATTTGGAAACGATGTCCCAAATATATATTTGTAGAAAGAACTGCTTTTTGTGTTGAAGTAGCATCAGCTGTCCTATACTTTAATAATGGACTACAATTTTTAGAGACGTTATTTGATAAGCTTGAAATAACAGTAGGTTGCAATCTACATAACTTTTGTCTTATAAATGACTCTAAGCGCATTTCTAAAGCAGAAAAACAATGCACAAGTATAGTGAAATTGAGACGCAAGAAACTAAGAGCTATACAAAAAGGTTTTTGTGATCAAAACGAAACATTAGAAGGTGCAGTTTATGGAAGTGGGGAGTTTTGAACAATTTTTTTTTTTTTTTTTAAATTGAGTTTTTCTCAAAATCATGTTTTTCACTCTGGCGACGGAGATATTTTTCAAACCGATAACCGATTTGATCTGAAATTTGGCACACTTGTTTGTGACACATGTATTTGCAACCTCTACTAGAATTATGTTTACAGCTAATTGTGTTCTACTTTTGTGAGTGATTTTGTGTTCTCAAATAACACCAAAACTTCCAAATATGACTAAAATGCATATATTTTGACTTTTTTTGGTCTAAATCCAAAACTTTTAGTGTATGTTGTTATTGCATAAGTAAAAGATCACAGGCCAAAATTTCAGTTCAAGTTTATTTACGGTTGCTGAAAAAACCCTGTCGCCAGTTATTCATTTTTAGGCTTTTGTCTGTCAATAATTATGCGCATAATTAATTTTTTTAACTTTTTAAATTTTTACTTATATTTTAATCATATAATATTTGTTATGCACTATTAATAATTGAAAAAAAAGTTAATTTGCAAGATTTTTTTTTAATGGTATACTACCACCTTAACTCACTGACGTTTACACTTACAGACTTTGGTGCATAATTTTAAATTAACTTTTAAATTAATTAATGACTTCTAGAAAGTCACAGGATCTTATCATGAAGCCCTGTACAATCTATATAACAAAAACAAAAAATTCTAATATTCTTCACAGTCTATATAATAAACAAATAAAGTATAAATTAACAAAAAACAACTAAAATACTTAAAATTGATATAATTTTATTTGAAAAGATAATTTCTTTTACTTTCCGCTTAAAAGAAGAATAAGACCATTTAAAAGAAAAATCAAAGTTAGGTAAAACTATTTTATTCCAATGAGAAGGACCACGATAAGAAATACAAAACTGGTCAATTTTAATTTAACAAAAAGTATCTTCGATACTTGTACTGGCACGAAGTTCACATTTATTTTTAGGTTTCAAATCAAAGATTTATTAATAAACTAGGTGACCTTAAAATCTCACAAGATTTGAGAAACTTTCCAAGCGAATCTGAATAGTATCTAGGACCAGATGTTGATCCATCCAATTCTGCAAATGACGTAGCGGAAGCTCGTTTGCATGTAACAAATTACTCATTGTAGGGGCCGTTGAAGTTCTAACTAAACCAATCTAATCACGCCACCCTTTTTCCTAGTGTTTATATTAGTTCTATCACAACCAAGCACTTATAAATCATCTAAAATGATATTGTGTTCTTTAATGTACTTTAAAATTTGAGATTATAATGCTTCAGCTGTTTCGCTAAGAGCAATGTGATATGTGCTCTTTCACAATAATACAACAATAAAAATACAACGCCTTTACTTTGACTTCACTCACTTCAAGTTATCTTCCTTTCATACGCTCGAGAGTCGATGGTGGTCGCAGACTAATGAAAGAGGAAAATTGCATTTGCTTTGAAGATGATAATGATGGGGTGTTTTTATCAATAACTCGCTACTTCATACGAAAATTTAAAATTAAATCAAATATTAGGTATAACACATACTTTCGAACTTTGTTACTTTACAGTAAAATTTACGAATTCTTCATATTTTTCACGACACAATTTTAAACGTAAGCCGCATAAAACTTGTTTCTTAGTAAACCCGCGCTTCAGAAATAAATTCATGGGGGAAAAAAATTTGTACAACACCGATCAAAGAATATCTAAAAAATGCAATTCAATATTATTTATAGATCAACGTTGCTTACCATATTGCTGTTAAATATATTAATTATAATAACATTATAAGACTAAAAGTAGCTAAAACTGTTATAGCTATTATTTACGGTAATAACGGAATTAACCTCAAAACTTAAAAATATTAAGTATAATACGTGAGTTCACAGAAAAACTTTTATAGGAGGATGCCACAGTGAACGTTTGAGGAAACATTCAACTTATGCGTCACCATGAGTAAAATATTTTCTTATAACAATATTTGGTCGCAGGAAATTCCAACTGGTCAAAATAATAAAACTAATTTAAATAAATAGAACAAACATATCTGCATCATACTTATTCGAAGCTTAATTATCACAATCTATAAAAATCTTTTTTTTCCTACTCTATGTTACAAATATATAGTCATTAGGGTCAGTCGCTAAAGCATCATTATGTTTGACAAAGACATTGCTTTTATAATCTTGAAGAAACTTTGCACATTCAGTGAGCGAAGCCACACATTGCTAAAACAAAAGTAAAATATATATTACTATAGAAATATACATTAATGGTTGATTTACTATTGCATAAATAGTAGAGCGGGTCATAATTTTTTTCCAGATGCTAACTTCATTGCTTAAACAAAGCTTTAACATACGATTTCATGTCACCCTAACAACATGATAACGCGATACAAAAATTTATTTTAACATAGAAACAGTTTGTTACAAGTGTGTGTGTGTGTGTTCAAAAGTGTATATATAAAAACAAATAACAAGCATTTCAAATATAAAATATAAATTGCATCATGCATCATGGTAATTAGGGTGTGGAGTCGTAAAAAAAAAGTACCAACTCCGACTCCAATCATTGAAATTTTCAGAGTATGACTCCGACTCTACAGCCCTGATGGTAATGATTAACAGAAGCGATCTTAGAAATAAAATGAAGAGGGGGGGGGGGGAATCCTTAGAAAGTACAGACTGCTTTCTGTACAAAAAAAAGACTCGAATGTGTCAAATACCTGACTAGGCGAATATATTCCATAAAAAAACAACTATAACTTGAAAATCACCTTCTTTAGAGGAGGGAGGGTATGTGTATGACACCCACACTTATTTATATTATTGCTATTATGATATATGGGATGGGATAATAGAACAAATGAGATAAATATAGATAATTAAAGATAAATGAAGATGCTGAAGGGTGAAACTTTGCTACATATTGTTACCACTGAAATTGAAAATGACATATTCAGTTTTCTAACAATTGAAACAGGGAATTTTCTTACACGTGCGTAGATTGATAGGAAAAGCATCCAATTTAGAAAAGAAAACTTCATGCTTTTGACAACATGTTTTATATATGCTTATTACACTGAATGGCTTGATTCTAGTATCAGTGAGTTTAAAAGCAGGTATTAAGGCCAATGTCAGTGAGGTTAAGAGCAGGTATTAAGGCCCACAACTTTTTCCTTTCTTAATCTCCAACACAAGTAGTCAACTATCCAGCTCGCTTTCCAAACAATCTGAATCATTTACCTTCTACTTGATTTGTGTCTTGTTTCTGATCCTAGTCAGTGCTCAGTTTCTCCACATTTACCCTTAGATGCTTCTGATCACGGTTAGTAAGTAACCGGAGTCGATATTTGATCGGGACTGGGTTTATAAAGCATAGCCGGGTTTGTGACCAGGGCTACATTAACATTTATACATCCTAAAGTATATTTTTTTAATTCAAAACTCATGTTATATTTTGTATATAAATACATATATAAACATCATTATGATCAACATGATGATGATCATCATCATAATCGCCATCATCATCATGAATAGCATAAAAGAGGAAGGCTGGATGATGATGATCATCATCATCATCATCATCATCATCATCATCATCATCATCATCATCATCATCATCATCATCATCATCATCAGGCTTTAGCCTTCCTCTTTTATGCTGTTTCTATAATATAAACATCAAGAGCATTTTTTTCCTTAACTAAAGTTCATTCATACAATATGTAAAACACTCTCTTCAGGTTTTCTTATTTCTACCACTACCTATTTTCTACTGAAGATGCTTTACATGCTGATACCTAAATTACTTCAACCTTTTCTAACAAATGTTGCTCGATACAACGTTTTTTTTAAATCTGTCTAAGATTATGCCTCCTTTTCTTGTCTTGCTAGAGTCATATAACACATCCATCTGATCATCTTTTTTTTCGGCAAATACTACACTATATAAATACTAAAGTTTATATAACAATGAAAGGATACTGCATGCCAGCATATAAGTAAGTAGCAAACATATAAGTTTATATCCATAATATGTATGCATAAAGTGCATATTGGAAGTTTTTATTAATTCTCTTCAATTTTAAGTCAAGCCTGATTCTACTCCACATTTTTCACCATCTTGAGCAGTTGCTTTATTGAACAATCACTTTTTTCATATTTTTTACAAGAACATTTTTCTTAAGAGCAAATGTCCTTTTATTATTGCAAGAAGCCTATGTAAAAAAGTCCTGTCTGATGATAAGCTCTGTTATTCTCAGTTTACTAAATCTTGTATGTTATCTGTTAGGTTCTAGAGACTTTTGGTTAGTTTTCAACAGATTAACCCATTGTTAAACATCGAAATCACTATGGCTTTCATTGCTTAAGTTAATTCTCAATTAAACGCTTCTACAGTTTGTGCTTCAGACAAGATTTCCATCATAGTCTTAAAAAAGTGTTTCCCAGAACTCTCTTCAACTTTTGCTAAACTTCTAAAAAGTGCTAAATAAGTGGTTCCAATTTTTCAAAACTCTAGAAAACACTTTGACCTTTCAAACAATCCTACGATTAGTCTCCACTCTGTTATTAGTTGCTTTATATAAAGATTTTGAGGTTACTAAATCTTTCTAACTGCAGTAGTAAAGTTATTCTTAAAGGCCTACATTTTTCTTTACTTCAAATAGGTTTAAGGGTACCATAAGGTTCTATTCTTGAAATCTAAAGTTGACTCAACTTTATACTCTTGTCTTGACAAAAAATCTTCACTTTATAATTGCTCAGAACAAGCAGCTGATTTTAAATCTAATCACTCTTCTATAACAGCCTGAGGCTTGCAGTGGCTTTTAGATTTAAATTCTGGACTTTAAAATCCACAATTTTCTATTGAAATGAAAGTTGATTGAAAATTGTAATTGAAAAAAAATTAATAGAAAGAAATGCAAAAAATTTTTTTTTCTACAAATACAATCATGGTCAATGCTCAAACAAGATATCATCTTTATAACGATAAACTAAAACTCATTCTTGCTTGGCTTTTTATTTAACAGGTTGCATCCTTTTACTGTACCTGTCCCTTCATATATAAAAACTTTTATTAATCTAGTTTTTTTCCTCGAACATCAAAAAAACTTTATACCTTTTACCCATCTTTATTTTTTTCTTTTTTATACAACTACAACTTTTTAAGTCTTCAGTTATATGTTTCCTAGTATTTTAACTTATTCTCTATTTTAAAGTAACAAAAATAAAAATTTTAAAGTAATAAAAATTTTAAAATAACTTAAATTTTATGCACTAGTGGTGTAGTGGTAGAGCACTTGCTTCATAAGCGAGAAGTTCCAACTTCGATTCCCACCATGTCCCTGGTAGTACCGCGCTCAACTTGTTTCTTCGCGCAGTAGCCTTGTTCGTTAAGGTTCATGTTTCAGAGTTGGGAGAGGGTAAAATTACAACAACAACAACAACAAAACTTAATAGTCGTTGCTTGCAATCTTGTTGGAAGTAAATAAGAGTTAAAAAATATATAAATGTATGCCAGTATTTAATAATTAGTAAATGTAAGCATAAAATTATAACATATTAAACATAATTTTTTTTCTAGCCCAGGCTATCAACTTTTGCTAAATCTTATAATTTTGCCAGGGCTAGGTTTGCAATAAACCTTATTTTTAGCCTGGATCCTGGTCACTTACTAATTATGTTTGATTTCATTAAAGCTATTATCTCATAATCTCCCTATCGCCATACCTCTTACAACTACCTTAAATCTGACTGGGACTCATTTCATATTTTTCTTTGTGATGGCTCTTGGGTAGAAATCACTTATTTTGGCTTTATTTTTTTACTTGACTGACGTGCTAAATTTGAAATGCTGAATTTGAAATGCTGAAAAAACTGAAACTTTGAGCAAAACAGTTATTAGAGTAAAGACTAAAACCGTCTTGGTAAACTTGGTTTTGAACTGGTAAACTTGGTTTTGAACTGGTAAACTTGGTTTGAACTGGTAAACTTGGTTTGGAACTGGTAAACTTGGTTTGGAACAGGTAAACTTGGTTTGGAACTGGTAAACTTGATTTGAACTGGTAAACTTGGTTTGGAACTGGTAGATCCCAAACCAAATGTATTTACAACAGTAAACAAAATTTAAAAAATAAATTATTGAATGTTTGGGTTTTAATTTTAATAAACACAATAACATCTTTTAAGCTTTTATTTAAAAAAGCCACACTAAATTTTTTTGTAAAAAAAACAAAATTTTTCACCTCATCAACAAAAAATATTTCTTATATAAATAATAAAAAAATTAAGGATTACTTACATCAAATAGTAAATCATTTTTGTGCAGCTGCAATACAAATGCAATTGTAATTTCTGCAACAGATCTCACGCCTTGATTACGATCGCGAAGTAACAAAGGAAATTCTGTAATAAAGTGTTTTATTGTATTAAACTGAACAGATTCTGGATAGTTTTTTGAGATATATCGTAATGTATTGAGAGCGGTGATTCGAACATCTGAAGACACATGTAACATGCTCTAAATAATATTTGAATCAATGAAAAATTGTTTAAGAAATATTATAAAATAATATAGAGAAATTATGATAATATCAAAATATAATGTTATCAAATTTTTATTTATTACTTTTATAGTTAGTATTAGTTAATTAGTAAAACATTTAAAAGTTTAAATTTGTGATTATTATAGTAATATATATGTACACTCCATTTGTGAATATTTTTTATAAACTTATTACATATTTATTACTAATACATTTGTTATAAATAGTAAAATATTAGTGAAAAAAATAAAAAAGCTAAAAATAAATCCAACAAATATAAACAATCATAAATATAAATGTAAAAACACCTATTGAAAAACATTTGAATAAGGTTGCAGTTTTGCTTATTGTTTTGTTCTCATAATATTCATAATATTTTTTACACTGCACAGTGGGCCAGAGAACGACATAAATGCTAAAAATATTTGTGGAAACTTTTTTTTTTTATGCAATATTTTAGAAGTAAATACCCCACAATAAAAAAATCTGTCGCTTAAATATTTTAATTTTTGTTTTGGGAGCCCAGGGAAAGTTTTCAAGCTTGTCCATTAAAAAAAAAAAAAAAATTTTAAAAAAGAGAAAAATACTCATAAAATTAAATTTCATATCGTACCCACAGTTTTTTAATATAATTAAAATTTTATAATCTCAATATCAGGGTACATGCTTTATTTTAAAAAAAAAATTAACAAATAAAAATATTCTTGTATTTAAGGCCTTTTTTTAACTTTAAATATGACAATTAAAAGTATTACAAAACACAATAAAAAGTTACCATAAATGGTTCAAGATCTTTTTTCGCCCACGTTTCCCCACTATGGTATTAACTTTTTTACAGTGTCTTAATATTGTAAAAGGTTTTTCATTAAAAATATCTTGCGTAAAGTTGCGCCAATTAAAGTTTAGCAGGTTTTAAACATGCAACTAGTTAGTCATTTCCAATTGTTCAAAACACATTGTTGTTAAGTATGAACTCTAAATAATTAATTGCAATTATGGAAACTACAAAAAACATTAAAATATAATGCTATTCCATTTTATTAAGTAATGTGGTTTTTTTATTTATGAACTTAAACTTATTTCAGGTAATTATCAATAATGTTTTTAATTATGTAAGATACAAATCCTACTTAAAAACTTTAAAAGACAATTATATTTTTAACTTGAAATTTTCTTCTACCAACCACCAAAGAAAAAAAAAAATTACTCAAAAATTGTTCATACTTTGGAAAACATCTTAATCAAATCAGTTACCGACCCTGATGTTTATAAAGTTACAGAGATCTCTGACATAGATCAAATTATTTTCTAAACAGTTTAACAAAAAATGGAATAAAGTAAACAGACACAAGAATAGATTTGAGTTGCATTATAAAATCTGGTTAGAAAAAGAACTACAAACAAGCGATGCATGTTTTGAAACAGATAAACTAGACAAGGGCCAAAACTCAGGCTTGGCTTTTCATACTTCTTTTCACAATTTAGGTATGATATTTTATAAAAATTAAAGTGATGGACTTATTATGTTTTTCACTGTTTAATTGTGTTTTAGCAAATGTTTATAGTAAATACAATCAACTGATATTTTAATATAAATTAGTTGTCTACTGAAGACCACCATGTGCAAATTCCATACCATTCACCCAAGCTTCTGATAAAACAAAAAATAAGGAGAGCAGAAAAAACAAATATTGCTGTCTAAAGAGAGGAATTATTTTACTCACTTATTTTGAAACTAAAAGAGGAAATAAGGTTCAGCGATGCCAAGGTACATTAACCTCAATACTATGGTCATTTTTAACTTATTTATCAAAAAATATATACTAAGGGGGGTAATTTTTCATTTTTACATTTAAGGTTGAGAAGCAAATATCAAAATCAGAGAAAGATAGTGCAGTTAATTCAACAACATTGTATAGTGGAGAAGAAACATGAGAGTTGATTTTGGACTGCTGACTTTACATTGGAGCAGTGTCTAAAGGAAACAAATTGTGTTCAACTTATAACGAAGTTAGGGAAGAAAATGATTTATGTATACCTCGTTGTGGAATACAAACTACTGATTATTCAGTCTCAGTTGATTTACAAAGCCTTATTGACCATACTACAAACAGGTTATTAAAAATACTCAATGAATCTGTAAAGACTCATGAGAAATCCATTCTTGTCTTTATACACAAAGTAGGATTTGATGGTTCAACCGGCCAATCATTATACAAACAAAGTACAGAAGACAAGATAAGTATCAGTTGTCGAGGAACAATCTTTATTTTTATCCTGCATCGTTCCAATTAAACTTTATATTGAAGAATCTGACAAACATCTATGGACTAATGAAAAACTATTCTCTACACTTTACTGCCATCTAGTGCGATTTCAATATGTAAAAGAAAGTGCTTAGGTTATTACACAAGAATATATTTTCTTTAAGAAAAGTAACTTGAAACCAACGATCTTTAATTCCTTTGTTATCAAACATAAGTTTGAACCATAGATTATCCTGGCCATATTTTAAAAATCTGGAAACTTTTTTTCCTCAAATATCCGGGAAATTTTTTTGTAATATCCGGAAAAAATCCGGAATTTACAAAGAGATGTTAACAAAGAGTGAGGGAGTGTGCTCTCCTCCATCTTTTATATTTTTAATATTCATTCCAAACAGTGGTCATAAATCTGAAGAAATGAGTAATGTTGTAATGGATTTTCTTAATTCACAGTATACCAATTGAAAATTGTCGTGGTATATATATGTCAATTTTAATTAACAAAGTAATTAAAATTGACATAATCCTCGCATTGTCGACAATGCAAGGAATATGTCAGGTCAGTATTCTGGGTTGCAATCAAGAATTAAAAGTTTTAATTCATTTGCAGAGTATGTACCATGTTCTGCACATTCTCTTAACTTGGTCGGAACGTCAGCTTAATAGATAAATTAATATAAAGTTTAATATGATTTTAGTTTTAATGCTACAAATAAAAAATTACAATCAACTGACATTGATCTTTATACAGTATTAGACCAATATAATGGCCTTGAAAATTACTTGGTACAGATCAGAGATGATTTTGATATTTTTGAAAATAAGGCTGTAGAAATTACGGGTTGTTCGGACTATGCCAAAGACTCCAAGAGAAAAAAAAAGAGAAAGGTACGTTATTTTTTTTTTTAGGCTATGGCTAATGAATCAAGATCTCAACCTATCACAGAAATCACAGGGAAAATAGATTTTATTAGAAATGTATATTATGTGATCATTGATACTTTTAAATGTCAACTTAGTTCGAGAAGACAAGCTTATGAAAAAATATCAGATATTTATGGGTGTATGCCCACATTGTATAAAATACCAAGTTCTATTGTTGTAAGAAACACATGTGAAACTTAGGCAAAATATTTTATTGATGATGTTTAAAACTCAAGTTTACTTATAGATGAGTGTATTCTTTTTTCAAAATTAATTTCTACGGATAAAAATGTAAAATCTGTTCTCTCTATGCAAGGGTTGAATTAACGCATCGCGATTTGCGATATCTGTTAAATTACCTGGTCTTCAAAGTTTCAGTTTATGGAAAACCACGAAATTTACGGAATAGGCGAATAAACATAAATAAAAATGATTTAGTTAAGTAATTCTAAACTTTAATAAAGTAGTAATGCATCTAGAAAAAATACAATGGATATTTAAACAATGTTAAAAACCTCATCAACTTTTACGAATACATATTTTTATAAACAGTTTAGCATTTTTAAACATCTTACTAACGGTCCGGAAAAAACGCGCGTTTACTTTAAAATCAACCAATGAAAACACTGGTAATTTACTTCTTAGGAGAAATCTATATTAAAAGGGGAGGGGAGGGGCTAAAAACTTAAATTTTGTTTTATTATTTAATCAATTAAATCATAATAAAAGTAAAGACAAAAAAATATATTTCGAAATATACTTCCTTATAACTAAAATTTATTAAATTGAACACCTCTGTTTTTAGTTTTAAGTAAATGTCAGTACTATTCTCAGTAGCGAAACTGCGGGAAGGGGGGGGGTTAGCAGACAAAAAGTGTCCTATTTTTAAACTAATTTTAGGTTGCATGGGCGATATGGGGCTCATTTTAAAAATCGTGCGGAAGGAGGGGGTTGTTACTGACTACTCTAATGTGCTTAATACAAAAGTAGGTGGGGGTGGGAATTTTAGTCAGGATGTATAAAATGGGAGGAGGAAATAATAAAAAAAAGCGAGAGGATTTACAATGAAAGTTTTATTATTTATCGGTTACCAATATATATTTTTTTTAATTTTAAGGCCAATTTTCACTGAATTTTTGTTTTGAGATATAGTTTTTTGTTTATAACAAGTGACTTGTTATAAACAAATAACACGATTTTCAAAATCAGCCCCATATCGCCCATGCAATCTAAAATTAGTTTAAAATCAGGACACTTTTTGTCTGTTATGCAAAGCCCCCCCCCCCCCCCGCAGTTTCGCCACTCAGAGTAGTACTCACATATACATAAAACTAAAAACAGAGGTGTTCAATTTAATAAATTTTAGTTATAAAGAAGTATATTTCGAAATATATTTTTTTGTCTTTACTTTTATTATGATTTAATTGATTAAATAATAAAACAAAATTTAAGTTTTTAGCCTCCCCCCTCCCCTTTTAATATAGATTTCTCCTAAGAAGTAAATTACCAGTGTTTTTATTGGTTGATTTTAAAGAAAACGCGCGTTTTTTCTGGACCGTTAGTAAGATGTTTAAAAATGCTAAACTGTTTATAAAAATATGTATACGTAAAAATTGCTGAGGTTTTTAACATTGTTTAAATATCCATTGTATTTTTTTTAGATGGATTACTACTTTAATTAAAGTTTGGAATTACTTAACTAAATCATTTTTATTTATAATATCTTGATTATGTGTTGTTTGATCAAACAATAAACTATAAATGTAACTTAAAAGAGTGTTATAAAAGTAACAACACTGTAGTGTTATTACTTTTGTAGTAATAAACTTATTGTTTTGTTTTTCATAACATTTTCACTAACAAATTAAATTTTATTTGCCTATTCTGTAAATTTCGTGGTTTTCCATAAACTGAAACTTTGAAGACCAGATAATTTAACAGATATCGCAAATCGCGATGCGTTAATTCAACCCTTGCTATGTATAAGTACATCAAGACCAAAGAATTAGAGTGTATGTTTCCAAATTTCAAGAAAAAGCTCTTTCGCCTGAGCAGTTTCAAACTGCTCAGGCGAAAGAGCTTTTTCTGTAATTAAGAGAGATAGGTGTGTGTGTGTGGGGGGGAGGGGGTGTAACACCCCACACACACCTATCGCGCCAGCCTTGCTACCATCGTCATAACTTATTAAATACAATCATCAAAACTTTGTCTTCAATTAATAAGAAATTATGCAAAAAAATGATATTTTCAAGAAGTGTGTACGAATAGAGACTTGCAATGGTACGACTGGACAGAAAACGAAATAATGATGTAGTAAATTTTGAACTACCGACAAACAAACTGAGAGAAGTTTCAGTTCATAAGCGAAGTGGTTTGCTTAAAAAAAGTTTTAAAACAATAAAAAAAGAAATCTCTTTGCTAATAGCTAAAAGAGCTATTTAAAAAACGTAAATTTACAATTTTTTTTAAAAAGAGAAGAGTTTGACACGCATCGCTAATTTTATTTTAAAAAAAAGGAGATCATTCGCTCTTTTGCGCTGGGATTTTTATTAAACTTTAATTAAAATTCTTATTAATTTTTGGTTTACTCTGCGAGGGAAATCTTTTAATCTTTTTGGCTTTGTTTTTTAACTGAATATAACGTTTGGTAATTTATGGACAACAAGTTTACTGTTTATATATACTTGTTACTGTTTCATTTAATGACAGTAATAAACAGAAAAAATTTTATAAATTGTATTTTCGGAAACTATTTAATTATCCGGAAAATATAAAAAGTTTAAAAAATATCCGGAATTCCGGAAATATCCGGAAAAAGATAACTCCTGGTTTGAACGCACAATCGTTGATGGAAAAGTGGCTACTATAGTTTCGCCTTTAAGTAATTCCTTTCAACTATGTAGTATTTGTGGACTGACCCCTTCAAATATGATTAATCTAAATGTTGCTTTTTCAAAAGTCTATAATATAGTTTCCACTGAGCTTGGATTAAACACATTACATGCATGGACTAGGTGCTTTGAATGCTGCCTTAATTTAAGTTATAGAATTGAATTAGAAAATTGGCAAATTAGAGGAGAGGATGATAAAGAAATTGTTATAAAAAAAAGATAATTGTTAAACAAAAGATGAAAGAGTACTTAGGCATAATTGAAGATGTACCAAAAAGCAGCGGTTCAGGTACAACAAATGATGTTAACACGGCACGAAAAGTATTCAGAAACTATAATTTGTCTGCTGAAATACTTGGCTTAGATAAAAATCTCACTTCTACATAATTCTTTGTGTTTTATCGTGCAAACATCTAATTAACGCAGATGAACTTGAAAAATATACCAAAGAAACAGCAGAGCTCTATGTTTCTCTGTACCCATGGTTTTCAATGCCTCAAATTGCACATAAAATTCAAACTCAAGTTGTACAAGATAAAAAAGTACTAGTAGGTCTTCTTTCTGAGGAAGCTCAGGAATGTCGAAATAAAAAATTTAAAAATTATAGAGAACACTTTACGAAAAAACATTTAAAAAAAATCACAAATGAAGATGTTATGCAAAGATTATTGTGTTGTTCAGATCCTATTATTAGCTCTTTAAGAAAGAGTTCCAGAACTTATCAAAGAAGTCGAACTCAACAAAGATTGTTTTAAACTTTTGTTGTAACTTTTTTTTAATTTAAAGTTTTGAATATTTTTACTCTGATTTCTGATCAAAATGAACAAATGAACAAATGAACAAATGTTTCTTTGTTTATAAAATATCTAATAAACAAATGAACAAATGTTTCTTTGTTTATAAAATATCTAATAAACAAATGAACAAATGTTTCTTTGTTTATAAAATATCTAATAAACAAATGAACAAATGTTTCTTTGTTTATAAAATATCTAATAAACAAATGAACAAATGTTTCTTTGTTTATAAAATATCTAATAAACAAATGAACAAATGTTTCTTTGTTTATAAAATATCTAATAAACAAATGAACAAATGTTTCTTTGTTTATAAAATATCTAATAAACAAATGAACAAATGTTTCTTTGTTTATAAAATATCTAATAAACAAATGAACAAATGTTTCTTTGTTTGTAAAATATCTAATAAACAAATGAACAAATGTTTCTTTGTTTATAAAATATCTAATAAACAAATGAACAAATGTTTCTTTGTTTATAAAATATCTAATAAACAAATGAACAAATGTTTCTTTGTTTATAAAATATCTAATAAACAAATGAACAAATGTTTCTTTGTTTATAAAATAGGGTCTAACATGTTACAAATATTTTAATTAATTAATGCTTTGAATCTGGGAAAAACTGTTTTCAAAAACAACCAATAGTTGTCTAAAATCTCTAACACCCTATAAACCCTTTTCTATTAGGGTGTTTAGGGTGCCTGAATCTGCAAAAAAAAAAAAAAAAAAAAATTATAAAAAAGACCTTTATGTTGACTAGAGCCACTGACTAAAATTTCAATCTGACAACTTTAAAAATAAAGGAGTTATGATTTTGTCCATTTATGTTGATCTTGGCCCACTGCACACTGTGAAGATTCAATATATGCTGTTTCCTTTATTTGTTTTATTATTTTTGTTAGTAGTATATTAATAACTTCATTAATTTAATTTTGCCATTAATACTTTTTTTATTTATACTTCAAAAAACAAGATGGTAAATAAACAAAATACCTTTTTCATTGACACTAAAACAACAAGAGGAGCAACAGAAGGTTTCTCTTTTGAGTATATAATTAAATGACCAAGCGAATGAACTCCAAATGTACATATTGGAATCTATTAGATAAATTGACCAGAAAATGTTTTAGTCAAAACTTTTACCTAACCTTATAATTAAATAGAGAATTTTAAAAAAATATAAAACTTAATTAAAAAAAAATTATCTACTATAAAACTTATAAAAATTATAAAAATGAAAGTAACTATTTAATTTCAAAAAATGACATTAAAAAACTTCCAAATATCACAAACCCTTTCGTTAGTTGAATGACGTACAACAACATCGATAATACTCTCCTCACTAGTTACTTTAAAAAGCTGAGAAGGAGCATGGAAAAGAGCATAAGACAAAGCTATAGCACGTCCATGACAAACAATCCAGTCTAGTGTTGGGTTAACATCTAACAATTAAAAAAAAAATAAAAAAATTTATTTGTTTTATTTAGAAAAGTTTTAGTTTAAAAAATGTTGCTAACTTTAAAAAAATTAAATAAATAAAAATTGTTAACTTGGAAAACTTAAGCAAATAAAAATAACACTTGGTAGTGATAAATTTGAATTCATTTCTGGGTTAAAATAAACTTTAAAAACCTGTTAATAAATTTAATAATACTTTTATTGCAAAACAATTTTAACATTAAATACTAATCCAAGGAAAGGGATCCCAAACCACTGAGATATATTGAGTTCATATTAAAGATAATGATAAAAAAACATTTAAGCTTAATTTTTTTAAATTAAAACAAAACAATAAATGTTTACCAAGAAAAACTAACTTTTTCTTTAGTCTATTCTTGCCTTCTTTGTTTAGTTGTAGGCCAAATAATTTTCATAATATATGCCACAATTTACAGACTTGATAATTTATTCAAGCATGTTTTATTTCTAAGAGTACATGACATAACTCATTTTTTTGCTTGTTTGAAAAATCGATTATATAAAAACAAAAATAACTTAATTACGTCTTGTACTAAAACTTGGAGGAATAAAACGCGCTTGAATAAATATTAAGTCTGGTTATATTATGAAGACTATTTGGCCTACAACAAAATAAAAAAGGCAAGCTTCAACAAAAACAAAAAAGTTAGTTTTTCTTGGTATGCATTTATTCTTTTGTTTTAATCAAAAAATTTAGCCTAAACATGTTTTTTTATCATTCTCTTTAATTTGAACACAACATGTCTTGGAGGTTTGGGATCATTTAAACCCTTTTCTAATATCTTCTTAATATTTGAACTAATAATGTGACCATCCATGCATTTGGGTAAAAAGCAGAACAAAAATAAAAAGTTTTAATATCAATATCAAAAAATAGAAAAAAACAAACAAACAAAATATTTAACATGTGCCCTAAACTTCATAATAAACCTTAAAAAGGTTGTATTTAAAATAATGGTTACCAAGTAAAGACGAAGAAAGCAGACTCTTGACATCACTATCTGAAAGAACTTGACACAGGGCTCCTAATGAAGCACCAGCAGTAATACGAATTCCATCCTAAAATATAAAAAAAAGATTGAAAAAAATCTTCATTTCATACACAAACATAGAAACATAGAGCTTAACCTGTTACAACATTGTATATTATCAGAAGAAACCCGGTACATCATCATATACAATTACAGAAAACCTGTTTCAGCATATTATAGAGTATTATATAAGGTATTATAATTTTTTTTTCTGCAGTCAATTAAAAAATCATATAATAAAAGATATATATTAAATATTCTTTATCTGTAAAAATCAATTTTTGTGCTTCGACTGGGTTATGCATATTTAGGATAATATTTTAGTTCTATGTAGTACAAAATACAAAAAGACAACATCATACTTTTAACATGGTAAAAAGACATAAAAGCATTGCAATTTTATACTTTATAACACAAATCACCTCAGTAGAAGATATCAAATCCAAAAGCGTTTCAAGTAGACTACTTTTTATACTATCTCCCATCTTGTCTCCAGCATTGACAATAACATAGTGTAATGTCTTTAGAACAGTTTCTCTAAATAAAAATCAGTACTTGTTATCAATCAATTGGTTCAGATGACTGATATAAGACTTCATAATCATGTAAATACATCTTAATTTTGTCTTTTGAAATTCTTTTTATAAATCAAAATAAATTTAAAAAATATTACCTGACAGCAGGATCATCAGAACTCTGAATGGAATTTTTCAACTCAGTGAATAAAGAATCAACTCTTGTATGTAATACTGTAAGAAAACCTAAAGCCCAAGATGCTTTTTGACGCACAGCTAATGTTGGATCAGTTAAAGCTTTCATGAAAGTAGTTTGAAGTTGAGAAAAAAAGGGTTTCAAAACAGCACCAACCTTTATGCAGATAAAAACAATTAAAAAAAGTTTAACAACAAAAAGAGCAACAACAATAATAACAAGAGCAACAAGAACAACAGCAACAACAACAGAACAACAACAGCAACAGCAATAACAACAACAGAACAACAACAGCAATAACAATAGAAAGTAAAAAAAAAAAAAAAAAAAAAAAAATAAAGTATAAAAACAAACAATACTAAAATAATATTGCA